CAAAGCGGATCTCATTACAAATACAATATTGAGATGAGGATAATTTGTCCGGAAAAGAGAAAAAATGTGTCGATAGATTCCCGAACAGATTACCGGTATAATGAATCAGTGATCCCTGGAATGGCAAATATAAAACCGGCATTAAATGGATGCGAATTTCTCTTGTTGAGATTGAACAAACCTACCTACCTAGGCACGTGCTAGGTACTGAATTTATCATTTGAACATTCAACTACCGAAATCTAGGGCTGAACCCTATTGAAGCTATACGGATAGGTACTGAAGACTATGTAATAGGCTTGATTCTAACAAGATGACTCCTTGATTGAACTCGAAATCTTGGCTTGGCTTGTTTTGAGAAAGTCTGAAATCCTAACTCGTCCTCAAACATGTACCCCCCCTCTCCTCCCCACTTTGTCGCTTCAATGGGTACGGGGAAATTCTCCTTTACCGCTGATTCGTCGGATAAGTAGATCAATCAATAACTTAAAAGGCCGGCAAATTCGATCAAAGCACATCACCAGAAGCCAAGATTACGCGTTAAAAATACCACAAGGATATTAACAAAATAACGTACAGAGTTGTAGAAGTACTAAGTAAACACAATTTTTCTAGAGATATGAAGTCCAAAGTACTCTTTGAATTCGTAGAGCTTCGAAATCCGTACAGTAAAATAGCAACGGAAGCTTCTTTGTTAGATGTGGACATCAGTCGTCAAGAATGTGAATTAGTTCGTTAGATCTTGTCATCGTTGATGTCATCTTCGCTTCGTTATCATTTGTACATACCTATCAAGACAGAAAAGAAGCCTACGCAATACAATCCATACTCCATCCATGATCTAAAGACTTTTTCTTATGACCACTGCCAAAACAAAACACAAAAGAACGCAACCTCTCCGGAAAATCCATCCAATGACCTACCATACCATCGCTACTTTTCGTTAAATCAGACAATCTTTCCTGTTGAAACTGCAAAGACTACAGAACTCTAGCCCGTCGCTGCTCTCGATGACGAGTTGGATCGATTGCGATTCCTTTCCTTCTGTCGCAATTGATTTGGCGCAAGCTGCGTCTGCCATGCTCCCTCGTCGAACCTGCGGGTATTTAGAGGGGTGAGAAGGAGGACGAATTTCTAATGTTGAAGAAGCGGGGCGACGAGCATTCGAGTGTAAATTTCCAAGCAATACTTCTCGTTTAACCCAAGGAGGCTCTTCAACTGAAACTACTTATCAACTGTTCGTCTTCTTTCTTAAGTCTAAGGATCTATACAAGTTCTGTTCTGTATCAAGCTCTTCTCGCTCTTTCATCATGTCAAGAAACCTCTTAAGAAAATATAAAATTATGCTCTTCCGCGAAATACGTTTCTGATATCCAAGAAGAGTGGCCATCGCTATGCAATAACAATTTATCCCATGGAAAATCAACAACAGAAGTTCCTAGCAATAGAGATTTTTTTCATTGACAGAAGCTTTCTCTCCTATTTCACTCCCCTCTCCTGCTCCTCATTATCATTAAATCTATCAAGCCCATCGAAAGCTTCACTTTAGTCTTTCCCCTCTATCACTCAAATCTTTATCCCCCCCCCTTTTCCTATCCTTTTTATGTTCCTCTGCCTTCCCCTCCCCTTTTCCAGCCAAACAAATCATCACCATCTTTTCACAGCGGAGCCTCTCTCTCCCTCTCCCAAACTCGCAAAAATCACAACTATATCAAAAAAATCATCAAACAACACTACACACATCCATCACACTACACTATATACAATTGAAATTACATTTTAATGCACAAACAATATATCCCATCTATTCTCACTATATTATACCAACTACCAATACCAACTCCCCAGTAAACAAAGAACACAAAAGCATCGAAACACTTTACAATATAATTATTACAACATACTCATTTATATAGCTAATTCATCAGAAAAGAGGTACAAACACAAGAAGCATGTCTATGTAAATTCCAATCTTACTCTCTCCATTCATCTTAAAGAAGACGTCTGTCTAGACTCTATCTCCATACGTCAAAATTCATACATACACATCAGAGAATGTTAAAGCTAGATGAGATGTACATGAAAGATATCTCTGTAGACTATCTCACCACCTTAATCTCCTCAAGTAATAAGTTCAGTATAATATATGACAATCCAAAACATAACCTACAATACCAAACCACGAAAAAATACAAGATTGAGGGAGAGAATTCTGAGAGGGATTCTATATCTATCTAGGTATCTACACACAAATATTACACTCAAACAAACAAACAAACAAACGAATCCGACTCAAACTTCCAAAAACTACAATCATAAATGAAAAGAACAAGAAGTAAAAGCGAACTGTACAAATTCGTCAAATAATCATTCCCTCTTGCTGTAGGATTCCCCCTCCTCATCTTCACATGAATGAAAACAACAGAAATAGAAATCACATCGTTCCCTCATTATAAAGTTGACATTAATCAATTTCGATCACGATTACAATTCCAATCTCGCTCTTCTCTTCTCATCACTTTTTCCGTGCCCCTTTCCCGCTTTCTCCATACATCCAGAATTTTTTTTTGGTTTCACAATTTCCCTTACTCTCACTGTCATCTTTCCATTCCTTACCAAATAAACATACAGATACACAGCCTCACTCCGCTCCGCTCTTCCTCCTCCCATATCTTCCAATTTCCAATTCCCATTTTCTCGTTTCCACCTCTAAGATTCAAACTCTCGGATTTGAGATCTCAGACCAGGAAATAACTGGTTAACTCTGCGTATACATGTGTACACATATATGTATCTAGATATATATCTACACACAAACACCCATACTCACATTCACAATCCCTCTCAATCTCCGATCCCACACTACTCTACTGCTCGCTATCTACCTGCCACCATCTGCCTACCTTACAGTCCATTCATTTCCCTCACTATGTATACCGCATATCACACACTTCACATCACCATAATCCACTTCCCTCCGCTCACACAACTCCCGTCCGCCCGCCCATCCGCAAAACCACATATACATATCCGCGAGATCTATCCCTCCTCTACTACCATATGATATTCCTCTACCGAATAAAACGAACCCACTCCACCTCTCCTATACTCACCACTCCCCTCCCATCCATCTCCCATCAATCCCTCCCTCCCATCCTACCACCACCTTCCAACCCCCCGTCCCTCCCCTCCCTAACCGAAAATCCCACCAAATACCCCACCACCTAGCATTTAACCCCACCTCCACCCCCAATACCAAGAATCTCAATACCACCCTATAACCTAATACCAACCTCTGATCCACCCATCCATAAAGTTACCAACTTCTAATTCGTCAATTCCTCTCCCCCAATCTATTCACTCACCCATCCATCCATCCATCCATTCATCCATCTATTCAAATTTTCTTTCTTTCCCCCTTTCTTCTTTCCCCCAGTCTCCTCAGCCATCAACTTACCTCAACTCAACTGGTCCACCACACCACACCACACCACCCAATGCAATCCAATGCAAATAAATTTCCCTCTAGCTCGCCATACCATACCATACCATGCCATTCTACACCCCTCCATCCGCCCACCCAACCATTCATCCGTATATGCACTGTACAGATGCAATGACACCCCCTTTCCCCTTCCACACCTACACCTACACCTGCATCCACATCCACATCTTCACCTCGCATACCAATCCTTTCCCCAACCAATCCCACCAACCGTCACACCCACTAACCAGCACCAGCACCAGCAGCACCCACACCAGCAAACCAGTCAAACAAACCAAAATCAAACCCAACCAATCAAACATAAGTACAACATAAGCATGAGTAAGTAGGTATAACTCTAGACCTCTCTCGATCCCTCTCGATCTCTCTGGACCCTTTCCGATCTCCTTCCTCTCGATCCCTCTAAGCTTTTTCCAATCTCTCTGGACCCTTTCCAATCTCTCTCCTCTCCATCCCTCCTCTCGATCCCTCTAACCTACCCACTCCTCCAAACTGCCGTACTAATTCCAATTCCAATTCCAATTCCAATTCCAGTTCCAATTCCAATCATCAATTCCAAATGAACCAATTAGATTTATATATCAATCCACATTCACATCCACCCAAACCCATCCACACACCACCAACCAATCAACAACCCAAACGAACAAAATATAAATGTAAATCGGTAACTCTAGATCTCTCTCGATCTCTCTGGACCCTTTTAGATCCACACCATCCATACATCCATACATCCATCCACCCAAACCCATCCCCCAAACCCATCCACCCACATCCACATACACCAATCCATACAACAATCGAACAATCGAACAATCAAACAATCAAACAATCTAAATTCTAGACTCTAGATTCTAGATTTTTCCATTGTGACCACCTGATTACTCTAACTACTCTAACTACTCTAACCACCTACCCTGACCACCTCCTTACCCTAACCACCTCCTCTAACCACCTACTTACTCACTATCCTCATTCTCATCCCCATTTCCATTCCTATCCCTATCCCATCTCATCCCCATCCCCATTCCTATTCTCTATTCCCTCTCATCTAGTCAGGCCAGGCCAGGCTGAATCGAATCGAGTTGAGATGAGTTAAGGTGAATTAAAGTGAGATGAATTGAGTTGAGGTTAATTGAATTGTTTATATATACTTATTACTTACTTAGATACTTAGATACTTAGATACTTAGATACTTAGATACTTAGATACTTAGATACTTAGATACTTAGATACTTAGATACTTAGATACTTAGATACTTAGATACTTAGATACTTAGATACTTAGATACTTAGATACTTAGATACTTAGATACTTAGATACTTAGATACTTAGATACTTGTAGATACCTAGATATAAAGAATAAGAACAAGAACAAACTCTCACTCTCACTCTCTATACATACAAGAAAGACAGAATGACTCCCCCCCCTCTAAGGAAAGGAAAGAAAAGGAAAGAAGAATAAAAACACTTACAAAAACAAAAACAACAATAATAGCAAAACCATATGAAATATAAAATTAGGTAATGTATATTATTACTAGGTAGGTATTATTACTACGTAATTTCAGGTAGTGGAGGAAGTTGAGGTAGGCAGGTAGGCATATACAATCTATGTAATGCCACTCACTCACTCACCACCCTCCTCCTCATCCATCCTCATCACAACCACAACCACAACTCAGCAAAACAAGAAACACCAGATTCGAACCTTTGTTCCAAAATCTCTTCTCTCGAGGTATAAAGCGCCATTCCATTTTCCATGCCAACCAATTTCCAACCAAGAACAATTCGATCCAAAATTCCCTTTCACTCCATTCCATTGCCATAAACATTACTCCTAATTTTCGTTTCCGGTTTGTCCAGGAGAGAAAGAAAGGCTTTCATGTAACGTATTACCGTTAAAGACAATCCTTGAATACCCTGTTGATCCCCAGGTATGGGTCGAAAGAGGTTGTAAAGATGCGATCGTAAAGTCATCATATCATGACATGATCCAGCTTCTTGCCTTGATCCTGCGCGCATCCTCATACAAAATTCATATGTTCATCATGAACCATGAAAGAATCCACGTATGTCGGAAATCTCTCCAAATCAATATCCATATCCACATCCTGATACTCTCCACCCAATACTCCCCCAAACGCTATTTTTGTTTCTCGACTTAACATCGATGTACCTCCCAGCGGTCGTTCACTTCCGATTCCCATGACCAAATCTTCACAAAATGGTAATTCAACTGGTGTCGGTTGTGGTGTATTTTCTCCTTCAATTCCCTTACAAGCTTTCCCACTACTCATCGGTCTCCCCATTCCACAATTCTTCATTGATTGTGTCCAATCTTGCATACAATATAATTGTGACGATTGTCTCTTTGCCGCTCTCGCCATACTCATCTTCGCTTCTTCAATAATTTCCTCTTCCCAAAGTGGTAGTAATCTATAATTCAAATTTTCCATAATCGCTCTCTGCGTGAAATTAATTTGATCACAACTCCACAATCCTCTTGCCCATTTCTGCGCATAGTAAAGGGTGGTTCCTTGTTGATCATCTATAAATTTCATCGCCAATATGAGGGCTGCGAGAACGATCACTTCGGGGTGTGTAGAATCGATGTGTTGTTCTTCTGCACATTGTGGACTGGGGAAATCGTATTGTTCGAGTAATTGATCTTCGGATGATTCGAGGGGATATGAAATTCGCCACGAGCGAGCAAATCTAGAATTGAGGGAATCGAGAATGCAGACTGCGAGGGCGAGGATTTCGATTGGTAGATCGGCGCGGGTTAATATGGCGTGGACTAGTTGAGTGGAGGGATCGGTTAAGGAAGTGGAGGAGGGGATTAAGTTTGTGAGATGGATTGCAGGACCTAGATTTTGCCAAAGATATTAGCCTAAATGTTCTGCAGGAAAAAGGCTGATGGTGTGCATAATGTCATGACGGAATGGGTTGGGAAGGTTACGAGTACATACCCAAATAGTCTGGATCAAGGATTTCGTCGGAGCTGAAAAGAGATATTGGTGATTGAGCTGCCGTGGTATCATAGGAATGAGATGAGAGAGGTGGGGTTGGTAGATTTGAGAGTGGGACATAGGTTTGTTCGAAGAAATCCGAATCAAAAGAATCGAATGATGATATGGATGAGGATCTTTTGCGCGAAGACATGGAAAGTGGTGGAGACATTGTTGGATTCATAATTGAAGAATTATAATAAAGACTGATTTATTATATTTGTATTGTAAAGGAGAGGGAGGTTGGTTATGTAGTTCTGAAGTGAGAGCGAGAGATCGAAGGAAGTTGTTGGCATGTATTGGAAAATGTAGGTTTGAGGAATGTATAAAGTAATGTAGGAAGTCGCATCAAGGTTTTTATGTAGATATAAATCCTTCTGATGAGGTGCTTCCAATGTTCGATTTTCCAGTCACCCTTTCTTGGTCTGAATGAGAATGAATGCCCAGGTGGTTGTTCGATTATAGAAGAATCCTTTGCCTTGCCTTGCCTTGCCTTTCCCTTCTTCATGCAATGCAATGTAATGTAATGCACGTTTGAATGGACTTTCTTTGGCTTGCTGAAAAGAGTCGATTATGTTGTATTATGATCCTTGATTGAGTCTTGCCAAGTCGCGGATGCGTTTTCTTTCGAAGTAGAAATGAGTGAATTCGAGAATGAACTTTGACTTCACTATGGATCTTCTTCCTTTGTATATCCTCGTATCGTGACACCAGACACTCGAAACACGAAACAAAGTGAGGGAAAGTAATGAGCAACGAACGAGGAGTTGGAATCAATACTTTATACTTGAAAGATTGAATGATTGAAAGATGAATGATTGAACGATTGAACGATTGAAAGACTGTCTGAAGCAAACTTACATGAATCAAATTAAAAAGAAATCCAAGGAGCGGGATTATCAGAGCTCTATATACTTAATTCATTGTACGAAGTAATGCAAGAAGTTCAAGATGAAGTTCGGTGTGAGGAAATGGGGTGGATGAGTTTATTTTTATGGGGAATTATATAAATGGGTATGAATGGATACATGGATATATGGGTATAAATGAATATTATGGGTTATATATGGATATATGGACATATTTATGGAAATAATACATGGAAACGAATGGATATAGACGGATACAGATGGATATCATAATGATTATGGTAAATGGTAAATGGGAAAGAAATGCGAGGTGGAAGGAGAGACGGAAAACGCAAAGGTGGCTCGGGTGGATTGACCTGGCTTACCTAGAGCTTTCTTGGTTCAATCTGAGACAAATCCAAGCACAAGCCATTGATTTGATTTTTCTTCTTTGACGATTAGATGTTGACGGAGTAGGTATTTCATCTGATCCATACGATAATCCAGTGAATATTATTTGAGTCAGGTATGGGGAGAAGAAAGTATTTTGACTCTCCTCTCTTGACTCTCTTGACTCTTATAACTCCTTAAGTATTGAGTAGAAGATCAAAGAGCATATACCACCACCACCCCTTCTCTCCCTTTTCCCCCTTCATTCTCGCCAATCTTACACGACATAGAATACTTCTTCGGTCTTTCCATAAGCCTTATCACGCGATCTCTTCGTACATCTCGTCAACTTGCCTACATGTTGTTCGAATGGCATCCAATTATAATCTGACAATCTGACATTCAATTCATCCATTTTAACCAACCCATCTATTCCATCCAACCCATCTACCCATCTATTCCATAAAACTCAATTCAATATACGATACAACTAACCTCAAGCTAACCACACATCAATCTGCACATCTGCACATCTGCATATCCTCAGCTCCTCTTCCCCCCTCCCCTCCCCACCCCAAAAACCTCGTACCACCATCATCCCATTCCACCATGCCCTACCAAGTTACCAAGCCTCCGAGCCCTCCCAAAATCTATCCACCGAACGGCCGCTAATCCAAAAGGTCCCGATGGCGTTCCCAGCATCCCAAGCTTCGCTGGCCCTCTTCTCGTAATGACTAACCAGTGACCACGAATCCGATCCTTCACCGTCTTCCCATCCTCACGTTTCATGCAAGAAGTAACTAGGGTCTTGGTACAGATGTCCCGTTCGTATGTAAAATTCAATCGACATGCATGCATTGTACGTGGGAATATCGTATTCGGTATGTACATCTAGTAGATGGATGATGGATGGTATGTAAAGAACACATGTGAAGAATTTTTTACTCTGTAAATTTTCCGTTTCTTACCAATCCGGTATTTCGATTTCTTAAAATCGTCAAATCAGATATATCTATTTACCTACCCAAGTATACTCGTACTTCGTACAAACAACAATTACCTACTAATAAATCCTCCATCCAAACCATCCAAACCACCCAAACCTCAAACCAAAGCTCGCGTGCTCAGATTCCCCTCTCCATCACCTCATTCCAAACACGGCACGATCAGCAAGCCAAAGCACGCACACCCAAGAAGGAAAAAAAAAAAAGAACCAAACCCAAAACCCTACCTACATACATCACCAGCGACCCTAAAAACTCTAACCCGACCCGCGTCCACCCATCCATCCATCATCAAACTCACCTAAGTATTAGCCAGGAACCAACCAACCAAGCAGAACCTTTCCCACCACCTCAGATCCGATCCTTCGACCTTCCCTTCTGTGATCAGCATGATAGATGAGGAGAACCCTGATGATCTTATCGTTTGTTTGCTGGGAATTCTGGAACCCTGAATATCTACAAATGTACGGGGGGTGATGTGGCATTGCTATGGTAGGTAGGTAGAGATTTCATTTATGCATGCATCATAGGTAGGTATCTAAGTAAGTATTTTATGTATGGATTGATAGGTAAATCAAGGAACAAACAATACGAGTTCTTCTGCTCAGCCACTCTCTCTCATTTATAGTCTGAAAATGAACACAGCTGGAGACCTCGACCTCGGGACTCACAGACTTCAAGATATACAGATGAAGGTTTCTTAATCGATCTCCCACTTTGATTTTCAGATTCATACGAAATGTATCGGAATTCTTATATATAAGTATTGCGAATTATAAATTAATCGATTCAAGTCTTTCATGATATATATCTAGATAGGGAGATACTTACTAATATTATAATAAGATAATAAGTTTTAATATAACTAACTATTATCTACAAAACAACTAAATTTATATATAATATAAATATATAAATAAATCTAAATTTAAGATTTCATTTCCTTCTAGATTTTTCATAGAGAAAATATAGAAATATAGTAATTAATCAATTAATTCAGACTTTATATATATCCCTATCCCTATTACTATTACTCTCCTCTTCCCTCTCTCGTTTTCTCTTCATTGAAACACAAATACAAAAAACAAACTACCATTCATCACTCATATCCGTCTAAACAATCATATAATCATACAACCACACATCCCCTCACAAATACCAAATACCTCCGTAAAACAAAATAAAGCCGCGCCACCACATCATCACCCCACTATCTATCTAGATATCCACCTCACTACCTATCCTATCCTATCCCATCCCATCCCATCCTATCCCATCCCATCCTATCCTATCCCATCCCATTCCATTACCCATTACCCATTATCCTTCTTTTCTCTCCTCTTCTCTTCTTTCATCTCAGTCCTTCCTTCCCATCCCGCTCCAAGTCTCGTCTCCAAGTCTCCAAGCGAGCAGGAAACCAAGCAAGTAAGCAAGTAAGCAAGTAAGCCAACCTCTAATTTCCAACCTTCAATTTCCAATTTCCAATTTTCACTTTCGAGTCCCTACTCCCGATATCAATTTTTATCTCGGGCATACTGTACTCGTAGTACCTAGGTATTTGTGTGAGTGAGCACCTAGCTAGAGGGTGGAAACTTCTTATATTTTAGTTTTTGTTTTTTGCTGCTTTATTTCTTATTTTATACCTATTAGATATATATTGTAGAGGGCCACACAGATAGGCCATACAGTAGAGAGAGAGATAAGATCATAGGACAAGACAACAAGCCGCAGAGAATACATTAGAGAGTAGAGTACATAGGGCAAAGAAGAATAAGAGAGACAGCGCTGGAATAGATGATTAGATACGCGTCACCTCTTACTATTCATATATCCACATATTCATATATCAATCATACTTCATATCACCTCTTAGCCATTACCTGATCAATTCAATCATAAACTACAACTAACATCACATCTTTAATATCATATTATCCCATCCCATCCCAACCGCTCATCGACTTTCTCCATCGTCGGCTCTCCCCGCTCCAAAAACTTCTTTCTTCTACTCCTATCTCCCTACCTCCCTATCCATCTCCCTATCCATCTCCCTATCCATCTCCCTATCCATCTCCCTATCCATCTCCCTATCTCTCCATCTCCTTACCTCATCCATCTCCCTATCTATCTCTCTACCTCATCTATCTCTCTACCTCATCTATCTCTCTACCTCATCTATCTCTCTACCTCATCTATCTCTCTTTCTATCTCCTATTCACTTCATCTCCCTACCTCTCCATCTCCCTACCTCATCCATCTCCCTACCTCATCTACCTCCCTACCTCCCTACCTCCCTATCCATCTATCCTCTCCAACCCCAATCCCCAATCCCCAAAACCCCCAAACCCCCAAAATCCCAAGAAGAAAAAGCGATAAGTAGGTATATAAATAAGTAGGTTGGTGGTAGGTAGGTAGGTGGATAGATGGATAGGAAGGTAGACAAGTAATCATTTACAAGATAGGTAAACAAATATAAGCTATACATATATACATATATATATATACACAAACCAATTGAAATCTAATCAATCCGATATACAAAATCAGAATCAACTTTTCATTCCCACACGTGAAAAAATGATAATACAATAAATAATACACCAAACTAAATAATACACTACCGGTACTCAATCACGTCAAATGAAAATGATCCCCCTCCCCCTTTTTCCCCACAATCCCCAATCGCACTTTCCTCCTAAACCTCTCTTCCCTCTCCTCCCTTTCCCTCTCCTCTCGAATTCTCTTCTTCCTCTCATAAACCGCCCGTACCGTCCGTCGAATCTGTTCCTTCCCCTCTGCGAAATTCGCCTTCGCCAACTCCACCACACGATCGATGGCATCCGGAGTATAAACAAAATTCCACGTACTCATGTAATCACTAATTGCCGGATCCACGCCCTCGACCTTGGGATTCGCGAGAAACGGTAGATAAACCACGGCGATCCCAGCATCCGGTGTCATCAATTGCCAATCTTCCTTCACCGCTTTAGATAACGGTGGTTCCTCCTCGACCCGTTCTTCGGTTGTCCCCACCCACACGGTACAATATCCTAAATCACCACTATCTTCCGCATCCAAACTCCTTGGGTTCTCTTCGCTTGACACGACCCTTTCCAAATGCGTCGCTTGTTCCTCTTGTGCTTTTTCCAACTTGGTTTCTGCTTCGGCTGCGGTACTGACTTGAGCTTGATCTAATTGTTGTTCTGTTTTCTCGGCTGAATCGCTTGATTTTGGCCAGCCAACGCCAATCGGCCAGCCTTTAATGCCACGCTGTCTTGCATATCCATCAACCACTGATAGCCAATTATCTGTTTTAACATCTGCACTTGCGTCAAAAGCAATGAGCACGTCGACTTCTCTTCCTGGTCGAAGTAGCGGGTAGATAGGTAAATTATTGGACATTCCAGCATCCATGAGTTTCAAATGTGTACTTTGATAGATACTTTCTGGAGCCGTCTCCGGAAGCTGTCCCTTCATTCCGTAGGCAAAGTTGGGGATACTAGCTGGATCGATCGGATGAACCTTACTTAAATCCTCATTTCGTCCTGCGATCATATCATCGATACTACCAAATCCCATCAATCCCTTAACCAAAGGTCGGACTTCTCTATAATAGTGACTTAAAGTAGCGCAAAAAGCACTTCCAAAAATCCC